CCCCCCCACCCACAGAAGTTGTAAATGATTTCTTAGGAGGAGCATTTAATACATTTTTTTTCATTAATGAGAATTGTAAGTGGTCGTTTGTTGCGTGGATTTCTCTTTCATGTGATGCATACCGTATTTTTTCGGAATATAAGACGCACCCTTATTTTGAAGACAAAGTTTTTTTGAGGAAAAAAAGCTACAGTCGCATTTGAAATATTTTTATTTAAGAAAAATTCAATTTGATACTTTAAAAATTAGTATATATTGTTCTAAATACAAAAGAGCTCAAAACAAGAAAATACCGTAAATTAAAAAAAGGTTTACTGTTATTTAGTTTGGTTCAAACCTACAAAATCTTCATTGCTTTCACTGTACTTTATTTCTTTATTATTTAGGGAGCATTTTTAATAGTTATGTTTTTTAAAAGAAAAAAACTTCTATTGTTATAAATAACACATTCAATTGAACTAAATTATGCATGCCTATTTAAATATATTTACACGTGGCTTATGTATATCGTATATATACATATATATTATTCATACCTTCGGTGTATAGGACGCAAGCAGATTTTGACATCAAATTTTGGGGGTAAAAAAGTGCGTCTTGTACACCGAAAAATACGGTATTTGTATTGTTTATCCGCCCAACGCCCTCTGCTGGTTATGGACATTTGGTGTTGATATTTTGTAAAAGTTAGGTGTTCGTTAACTTTCATGGAAAGTATATACTGGTGTGGTCTGTGTGGAATACATTGTTTGCATACATAGTAGCCTGTTATCATGAAGCGACTCGTAGTAAGCATTCTTAATCAAATAATTTAAAGTCTTACACTTGGTGCTTCTTAAATAAAGGCCCCGGCATGGCCAGGTGGTTAAGGCGCTCGACTCGCAATCTGAGGGTCGCGGGTTCGAATCCCTGTCACACCAAGCATGCTTGCCTTTTCGTTAGTAAAAAGAGTAGCCCAAGAGTTGGCGGTGGGTGGTGATGACTAGCTGCCTTCCCTGTAGTCGTACACTGCTAAATTAGGGACGGCTAGCGCAGATATAGCCCTCGTGTGGCTTTGCGCGAAATTCAGAACAAACAAACAAACAATCTTAAATAAAGTTCCTCAGATAAATAGCGTAATATGCCAGTTCTGAACTTGGGTTTTGTCGTGTAACTGATCGTTATACACACATGAAGACTTATAATGGTAGAACTAGTATAATTGTTTTATTGGCACCAGATGTAGAAAAACTACGTTTGTTTTATGCACTGCTGAGGTTATGTGGTTTATTTCAATGGTTAATTCATCAAACGTTGTTGGGTTTTTTTTTTTTTGGGGGGGGTAATTGATTTGTTGCAGAAAATGAAGATGTGATCGATTCATGAACTTGTATGTATAGGAATGTCATTCTCAGTAATTTGATTAATTGACTTAAGGGAACATATTTTTCGTAGTTCCTTTTTTTGTTTTTAGATGTCGCTACTTACAATAAAACATTCTGCACAAAAACTGTGCGAAACATAAAATGTAGATTATTATATATGCGTGTAAATCGTATAACATTTACATAATTATGTTTAAGCAAATAAAAGACAAATATGTACTTTTACTACTGTATGTGATATTGAACGTAGCCCTTCAGTTTATCGAAGTACATAAAATATATTTATTTTCTTTTTGTACTTTCGCTGAGAACGTACATACACTTTTTTA